ATTTGTGGGCGCCCGCCAAGTGCTGGGGGCTGGCCTGGCCCCGGGCGCATGGAGCATGCGTGGTGCCAGAGCCGGCCCCGGGCGCATGGTGCATGGTGAGCGCCGGTCCCGGGAGCTCCACGAATTGGCCGCCCGCATTCTGGGTGCATGGGGGGAGCACAGCGCCGGCCCCAGGTGCACGGCTGGCCCCGGGCACAGGGCCCTGGGGGGGGGGGGGGGCTGGCCCCAGGCACGCAGCACTTGGGGGGGCCCCGCCCCTGGGCACATGGCACATGGGGGGGCCCTGCCCCGGAGGGGGGCCGGGGGGGTGCCGGGGGGGCCCCGCCCCCGGCCTGCAAGTGCCCCCGCCCTCTGGCGCCCGGCAGGCGAATGGCCACGCCTCCTGGCGCCCGGCAGCCTCAAATGGTTGGGGACCACTGGGCTACAGGATCCGATGAGGACTACTTATACTCAAGTCATTACTGGAATTCTCCCCAAGGTTAAAAGAATCATTTTTAAAATGTTACTCACCTTGAAGCCCATGAAAGTGACCTGTCCAGAAGCAACATAACATCCACTCTGAGACACAGCAACACAGGAGACATTGTTAGTGTGGCCATGTAGGAAAGCTTGCGTATTGTTGTTCAGGCCTTGAATAATTATGGTACAACCCAGAGGATAGATAAAGTGCTCCCGATCAGGGTGGCAGATCAGGCCAGAAGGTATATGTCCTACAACACAAAGGGAGTAAGAGAGAGAATTCAAAGATTCACAGAAGGCCAGATGTGGCCATTAGATTATCAAAACACAGGCCCTTAAAATTACACTCAATTAGCCCTGTATTGAGCCCAATAACTTATGTCTGACTAAGCACAACTTGCATTTGGCCAAAGATAATTTTCAGAAAAGAGAGTTTGGCTTTGTCTACATGACATAGCTTTTAGCAACACAGCTGTGTCACTAATGGGTAGGCAGTGTAACTGCTGTTTGTTGGCATTTCTGCCAACAAATTACATCCATCCCCAACATGCGGCGTTCTCAATGTCAACAGGAGACCACAATGTGCTGTTCACATTGACACTTGCCACGGTAAAACTTTCATCTTTTGGAGGTGGCGGTTTAGCACCTCCAAATGACAAAAGCTTTATAACTCAATTGTCAGTGTAGACACGGCCTTATTCTTGAAGCTCTAAATCAGGGAAGCATGGTTAATATTCCCACTATGTTTTTTCCTCTATGTGGAATGGGTGCCTGAGCTCAGGTGTATAACCTATGAGCACAGTCCCCTCCTTCCGAAGAGAGGAAGGCTGGTACAATGGTTAGCACTCGAAAGACCTAGCTCCAGTTCCAGGCTCTTTAACAGAATTCCACTGTGACCTTGGGAACTCACTTAAGTGGTTTGTGCCTCAGTTTCTCATCTGTAAAATGGAAATGATAGCACTCCCTGACTTGCAGGAGTTTTAGTAGGATAACTGCATTAAAGGTGCTTACGTGATAATGATGGGGGGGGGGGGCAGATAAGTACATTCAATTGATCAATTCTACCTACTCCTGTGTTCCCTCTCTTCTTCATTTATTCCCTCTCACATTCATTTATCACTTTCCTTCTCCTACACTCACTTTCTCCCTTTAAATATTTCCCTATGTTTCTCTCCACGCACAAACCCTTTCCTTTACTCTTCCTTGAAATCCATAGAACCAAAAGTTCAAATCCAGGTAGATACATGCATTTTGGGGCTGGCAAAGGGATCCCTGGATGTCTATAATTTATAAAGGTCCACAAAAGGACTTCTGGAAATGTAGCATTTCTTCATCAGCATCAAAGTGCACCCTCCTCTGGGGCATGGAACAGGCAGAAGGCTACAAGATAACCGCTGTGGGATTTGAATATCCATGCAGAGCAAACAAGAGGACGCTTAGTTTTAATATTCTCATCTGGAGATGCACAGTAAACAGCATGGAATTCTGTTGCGTCCACCTGAGACCATGCAGAACACAGGCATTACCAAGAACTGAATTTGAACTTTTGGCTTTAAGGATTTCAAGAGACCATCCCTCTGAAAACTAATGAACTTCCCTGGGATCACAGCGTAGTGCAGCTCTTATTACTGATGTAGCATAGCAGGCAGGTGTGTCACTGTATTGAGTGTACCCCTGCCTTGACGTCCTGAAACTGAGACCCAAAGCAAAGAGCAATGAAAACAAAAACAGGCCAAGGGTTAGGGTGAGAGACAGGGTGGCTTGGTGAGCTCCGACAGGGAGAGAGTGGCTGCATTGCTCTGCCGGCGGTTATGCCTGGCAAAGAATTGTTTAGTAAGTTACAGTGAGTGACGGGGTCCAGCGACAGGGCCTGGCAGAAGGGGAGCGACCGGAATGGGGGAGGGGCCTTTTGTCAGAGACTGAAACAGAGCATGAGATGAGGTCAGGATCCCCCAACCCAGCCCCCCACTAGATTCCCCAACCCAGCCCCCGACCCAGCCCCCACTAG